TCTCGACCACGACTTGGATGGACGGTCTTTTGGAAAATGGGCGAACCGTCAACTAGGAAGCTTCGTAATATATTGAGGCCTTTATAATTCATTGGCAATTGAGGCTTCCATACTATCCACGTTCGGGTTGCCCTAGTCCAGGGACACTAGGCCCTCTTCAAAGGGTTTAGGGTTTAGGGTACCCTAAACCCGAAACCTAAAGACTCTGAAGTTGTCGGCAACTATCACTCGAACCGGATGAACTATAGGACTAGTGAATCAAACCCCGAAACAAGGGAATGATAACGCAACATAGTATACAATATTGAAGTGCAAGAACCTGTTCTATTATATCATGTTGTATGCTATTCCTGTTCTATTATATCATGTTATAGTTTATCCCTATTCCATTATATCATGATATATTCTGTTCCCATGTCCAAGCACTAGCCTTCAACCCTGACTCAGACTGCCAAGTTGTCACGTCCACCCAAGGAGGAAAAAAAACAGCTAGGCGGGCTTTGATCAAAGTTCGGATCTGTTTTAGGGTTTGGGGTTCAGGGTTCAAGGCTGCTGAGGAGTAGGATTCTAGGATTGGCTGCGTTGAGGGCTTAAGCAAGTGAAGCCGAAGCATGCAGCGCGCGATGCTCATCAGACCTGAGAGACTAATCCGTGAAGCCCTCCCCCATACCCTAATTCAACTCGAGACTCTCGACCCAACCCTTGGGATCCTCCTTTTGAAAAGAACCCGCAGCGTTGCCAGACCTGTTGCCAGGCAGCAGGGAAGTGCATGAAACCTTCTTGGATTGCTCACCCGGCGAGCCCGGCCAACAAATCGCGCTTTGAGACTTGAAATCTTTGCACCTGAAACTCTTAATGCTGAGCGTTCCGGTTTAGAATTACGGATTAGGCTTCAGCTGAACGACTGTGGAGTCGTGGATCTTTCGGGTTTTGAGGTGTAGGGCTTTTGGCAGTATGGCGGGAGACAGGCTACAGCAAGCCGTGCCTTTTTGCCACTTTCTGGGGCTGCCAAACCCGGCCCGAAAGCCCTAGATGTTACTTACACCCCAAATGCCCCAACAGTCTGAACTTCATGTTGTCGGCTGGGATGTTAGGCTTGCCGCTGCATGCTTCAGTGCCCAGGGCCTAGGGCCTAGGAGCTAAAACTTGCAGGGCAGAAGGTTGTGGATGTTGGGGTTCCTTTAAGGGTTCCTTTGGAGCTTACTTCAAGGGCTCCTTTAGGGGTTCCTTTAAGGGTTCCGTTAAGGGTTCCTTTAAGGGTTCCTTTAGAGGTTCCTGTCAGGGCTCTTTTAGGTTTCCTTTAAGGACTCCTTTGGGGTTCCCTTCAGGTGGTGTGACCCCTCTTATAGGACGCGGGATTTACGGCTTCGGGCTGAAACTGTCAGAGTGAGCGTTTGTTTAGGGACTTAGGGGTTCAGATTTCGGATTTAGTTTAGGGCTTAACTGTTGGGCATGCCTAACACCAGTTTGAGCAGTCCAACGTCGTGCTTTGCAAGCTGTGAAGAGCTTCCTGAGGAGCTCGCAACTCTCGGAACCCAGGGTTTGTTGGGTTTTACACATTTTAGCCTTGGGCCTTCGATTTGGCCTGGGGTGTATACGCCTCCAGGGATTCCGAATCTGATTTAACAGTTTAGCATATAATGGTCTATAGTATATAGTAGTATATAAGAGTATATAGTATAGAATAGTATATACGAATAAATAGTATAGAACAGTATATAAGAGTATATAGTATAGAACAGTATATAAGAGTATATAGTATAGAATAGTATATAGTAGCGTATGCTAGCACTGCGGCTTCGGGGTTAGCCTTTTGGGCTGGCCAGGGCCGGCTTTGTCGCGTAGACTTGAGATTTCCTCTTCCAACTGTCGATCATCGCCGTGATCAAGATATATATATATATATATGTATATATATTTTTATATGTACTTATATATATATATTTATTTATTTATTTATTTATTTATTTATATATATATATATACCACCAGCACACAAGTGCATATCGCAACCCGCCAAGCCGGCACCAAACCCTGAAACCCAGAGCATTCCAATGTGCTTGTGCGTCCCTCTTGGTCGCGGGGCATATTGAGATGATAGCTTCGACCGAGTAAGTGACGCCAAAAGACCCAGAACCAGCTTCGCACGTCGGGATTCAGAGCTCCAGACTTCAATAATCAATCGAAAAATCCTGAACCCTCAGACCTGAAGCCAAAACCCGAGACTGCCGACACCACAGGCTCCACAGCCATACAGATCCTCCATCGTATACGCCTTTTAAGACCTCAGGGACAGGATCTGGGGCTAGTAGGGCTTTGCGCCCACTAAATTTGGAACCCACCCAAGCTTCCGAGAGCGCAGCGGGTTGGCTTTCCTGGCTTAGGAAAGAGGCCCCCAACGAGGCCTATGCTAACTCGAGAGGCTGGAGATGGTAGGGCAGCAAGAAACGGTAAACTCTTCGGCTTGGGTGCTGAACCCGACTGCACCTAAACGGGCTAGCAACCGAAACTGCACGCTGAACTAGGCTGACACGAACCGCAATGCTGCCTTCCCAGGCCAGGACCACTGGGACTTTAGCATCCAAGGCTTACAAGCACTAGCTTTGTAAGTTTTATCTTGGATTAGTGGTTCGGGAGCAAGAGCAAGAGCGGCAGCAAAAGCACGAGCAACAGCAGAAGCAAGAGCAGGAGCAAGAGCCAGAGCAATCTGCAACCTTATGCCCTAAAACCCCTGACCTGAAGCCTTAACCCTTATATAACTCCAAAGCCTGGACCTCCTACCACCCTCAGACCTCTAACTTCTTGCAGCCCCGCTCATGCGGCCTCCCGCAGAAACTAAGCGGAGAACAGAGGCAGGGCACAGGAGGTTGTGAGCCGGAGTCGTGGCCCTACCTTTAGGAAGTCCTTTAGGGTTTAGGGTTTAGGGTTTAGGGTTTAGGGTTTAGGGTTTAGGGTTTAGGGTTTAGGGTTCCCTACCTTTAGGATTATAGGGTCTAACAAACTGGAGGAGCTAGCAACATTAGGGGGTTCTTTGTGTTGAAGTGCAAGGGTTTAGGATGTAGGCTTAGGGGGCTAAGGGCTTTCGGAGTTGACGGCTGCTTGTTGTCCAGGGCTTGGATGTACCCTAAACCCTAAACCTTAAACCCTAAACCCTAGACCCTTTTTGCGGCAGGCTTCTCTCGCCCGGATTTCTCTAAACCCTAAACCCTAAACCCTAAACCCTAAACCCTGAACCCTGAACCCTAAGACTTGAGACGCAGGCTTCCGGGTTTTAGGGCTTGGCCCGAAGGCTCCGGGTATGTTGCCTCTACTTAAAAGATCATGGGACTTAGTAACTGAGTTTACAAACAAGGTAGCTATACTTATAACCCCCAATTAGGGTACTTATAACCCTACTTACTAAGTCCGAAGATCCTCCAAGTAGGGCTTTCAGGTTTAGGGCTGGTGGGTCTTGCTGTGTCAGGCCAGCCGGCCACCAACCTCCTTGTTCCAGCGCGACTGCCCTCATTTCAAACTGCTCAAGTTTAGGCCAACCCTTCAGGTTTAGGGCAAAACATTCGGCCCTCTGAGGTAACATCAGTGATATCCAGCTTGCTTAGCATGCCCTGCTGCCACGAGAATCATAGTAGTGGAAATCAACAGCACCACTGCAAAAAAAAAGTAAGTGTGTGCGGACATTGACAAGGAATCACAATAGGGACAGCAAGTGCACCAATCATCAGCCTGCACAAGCAGACTCATACCTCGGGACTTCACTCACAACACGCTCTGGAGTTTCGGGAATTGGTTGCGGGTTCAGAAGTAGCTACCGAAGCAGGTTACACACAAGGTACATTTACTTGTAGCAGCATGGCTGCAACATGCAGACGACAGCTGCAGTTCCGTTACTGGTCCCCCGACCTGTATTATATACCTTCGACAGTTCTGAGCGAGAATCTGCAATCCATGCTCGTTACCTTGGGAACCTAGCAAGACTGAGGCGCAGTGCTTGCGGTAAGTCTATACAACAGCTACTAAGCTCCCAAGGAACCAAACAAGTAGGGTTTAGGGAACCTGGGCCTTCAGCCCCGGAGCGGATGTAGACGGGGAACTATGCTTTCTATAGCTTTAGGGTTTAGGGCTTAGGGTTTAGGATTTAGGGTTGAGGGTTTAGGGTTTAAGGCTTAGGGTTTAGGGTTCACTATGCTGTCTATAGTCTTCATGCGGGGCAGGTCGTATAAGGCCTCGGACGATAGCATAAGGATTAAAGTGCCAGCTGGCGGCAGATGCGAAACCTAATCTTGAGCTTTGCGTTTGCGGACTGCTGGAGATCGGAACATTCCAGAAATGCAAGGCCTTTGCTGCGGAGGCACCTGCACATGCGGGGCTTCAGGCGGCCACCCCAAGGGTACGTGGAGGATCTTGGGACTTAGTAAGTAGGGTTATAAGTACCCTGGTTGGGGCTATAAGTAACTATAAGTATAGCTACCTCATTCATAACCTCAGTTACTAAGTCCCATAATCCTTTAAGTATAGGGATAGCTAAGTACTCAGAGCTCAGGGCTAATCAGCATCAGCTGGAAACACTTTGCAAAGTCACCCTCCCAGTTTTGGGCGTCTGAACCCACATCAGGATAGCCGTTCGACC